CCTGGAACCACTGTGAGATGACTCTGTGTGTATGCGTGTATCTACAATCATGCACTAGATATCGATGTGTCTGTCATGACAGGCTGCATATATGTTGGTGGTCACATAAGATTATAATACTGTGTATATATATATATATGTTTTTTGAGACAGAGTCTTACTCTGTCTCTCAGGCTGGAGTGCAGTGGTGTGATCTTGGCTCACTGCAACCTCTGCCTCCTAGATTCAAGAGATTCTCCTGTCTCAGCCTTCTGAGTAGCTGGGATTACAGGCGTGTGCCACCACACCCAGCTAATTTTTTGTATTTTTAGTAGAGATGGGGTTTCGCCATGTTGGTCAGGCTGGTCTCGAACTCCTGACCTCAAGTGATGCGCCCACCTTGACCTCACAAAGTCTTGGGATTACAGGTGTGATCCACTGTGCCCAGCCAATACTGCATTTTTTACTGTACCTTTTCTATGTGTTGTAGAAACACACATAGGCATTGTGTTACAACTGCCTACAGTACTCAGCACACTCCTATGCCATACAGGTTTTTAGCCTCGGAGCAATAGGCTATCCCTTAGAGCCTAGGTTTGCAGCAGCCTCTACCATCTAGGTTCGTGGGAGTAAACTCTATGATGTTTGCACAATGACAAAATTGCCTAAGGACACATTTCTCAGAACGTATGTCTGTTGTTAAGCGACAGATTACTGTATGTGTGTGTATATGTGTGTGCATGTGTATGTATTTGTACATTTTTTGTACTATCTATAATACAATTACAAAATATCTGTGATTTCTAATGACAAAGTCACAGGTATTGCCAATGCTAGTGTGATTTGTTGCTGACATTCATAATGGAGGGAAATGCTAGATATCAGGTAAGGATGAAAGAAAATGAAGTTGTAACTTTTTCATGCAAGTTCCTGGACCTGGGAATTCTAATCCATTTGAGATCTCTCACGTTTAGAATCCCTGAGCAAAAGGATTAATTCCCTCCAAATAGCTGACTTGAAGACCCTGCATCCATTCAGAGAAGTTGTTGCTCACCCTGGCCAGGTGTGGTGGCTCATGCCTGTAACTCTAGCACTTAGTGAGGCCAGGGAGGGGGTGTTGCTTGAGCCTGGGAGTTTGAGACCAGCCTGGGCAACATAGTGAGACCCTACGTCTACAAAAACTACAAACGTTAGGTGGGTGCAGTGGCCCATGCCTGTAATCCCAGCACCTAACAGAGGCTGGGGTGGGAGGATCTCTTGAGCTCAGGAGTTCAAAACTAGCCTGGGTAACATGGCGAGACCCCATATCTACTTGGAAAAATAAAATTAAAAAGATGGTTGCTCATTCTAATAATGGTTAAATGCTTGGTGTGGGGTGGCCAGCAGGGGGCAGCATATGAGCGGGAGCGCGGGGCTCATTTCAGGGTGGAACTAAGGCCCAGTTAAAGTCTGAGGGCCTGGTTACACTCTCTCTCTCTCTCTCTCTCTCTCTCTCTCTCTCTCTCTCACTCACACACAAAACTAGACCCAAGTCCTACCTGCTTGCTACCTGTCTTCTTGCATTAGGGGCCAGTTCACACACAGGTGTGCTGAATGGGCCCACTGGACAGAGATTTGACAGAGGGCCCCCCTGGAGGAGATGGCCTAGCCTGGGATATAAGGTAGGTTTGTCTGAGCTCCCAGAGTCTCAGGACCTGAGGCAAGCAAATGGGTCCCAGTAGGATTCTCCCAGGAAACATTTGCCCTGCTTTTGGGGGCCTAGGTGTCATCAAGACACAGGCCCAGGGTTGGACAGAGCTGGCGTGCAACATTGCCTGAGGTCTTGGCAAAGAGCTTGCACCTGCTTCCTACACAGCCAGGGCCAGGCTGGGGCAGGTGGGCCTTCCTCTTTGGTGTACCCCCTGGCCATGCCTTCCCCACTCCCTATCCTACCTCAGCCCCCCAGCCCTGCATTTAGCCTTCCAGCCTCTGCTGGGGAGGGTGCTGGGGTAGGTGGGGTTCTATTATGGGGTCTTTTGCAGACCTATCCTCTCGGAGATAGGTGGTGGCTGGCCCCCTGGGCCCGGCCCCAAGAAGAGCTTTGTTTTTTTTTTTTTTTTTGAGACAGAGTCTCGCTCTGTCACCCAAGCTGGAGTACAGTGGCGCAATCTCAGCTCACTGCAACCTCCACCTCCCAGGTTCAAGCGATTCTCCTGCCTCAGCCTCCCGAGTAGCTGGGATTACAGGCACCTACCACCACACTTGGCTAATTTTTGTATTTTTAGCAGAGGCGGGGTTTTACCATGTTGCCCAGTCTGGTCTCTAACTCCTGATATCAAGTGATCCACCCATCTCGGCCTCCCAAAGTGCTGGGATTACAGGCATGAGCCACTGTGCCTAGCCACCAAGAAGAGCTTTCTTTTCTTTTCTTTTCTTTTTTGTTCTGTTCTTTTTCTCTTTTCTTTTCTTTCCTTTTCTTTCCTTTTCTTTTCCTTTCTTTTCTTTTTCTTTTTTTTTTTGAGACAGAGTCTCACTCTGTTGCCCAGGCTGGAGTGCAGTGGTGCAATCTCGGCTCACTGCAACCTCTACCTCCCGGGTTCAAGCGATTCTCCTGCCTCAGCCTTCCTCCCTAGTATCTGGGATTACAGGTGCCCGCCACCACGCCCAGCTAATTTTTGTATTTTTAGTAGGGACGAGATTTCACCATGTTGCCCAGGCTGGTCTCGAACTCCCGACCTCAGGTAATCTGCCTGCTGGGGCCTCCCAAAGTGCTGGGATTACAGGTGGGAGCCACCGCGCCCGGCCTTCATCCAAGAAGAGCTTTCTAAGCAGAGGTCCCCCTTGTGGCTTCTCTGGGAGCTGGGGTTCATGTGTGTGCTTTTGGCTCCCACATCTGCCCCATCTCTTTTGAAACAGTGCTGCAGTGACACCAACTCCACCTGGAGGTGACACCTAGGGGGTGAGTCTGACGTGGGAGTGAGTGAATCCCTGACCCTCCGGAGACCACTCTGCAGGACCAGCAGTGCACACAGCACCAGGACATGCTCCACTTTGTCACCTGTGGAACTCAGGGCCTCAAACCACTTGGCATCTCTTTCAGCCAGGAACAGATTGGAAACAGAAAGGCACAGCCTGGACAGGGCAGCGACTCCTTCTTGCGTGAGGAGATGGGGGTGCAAAGAGGGAGTGGGCAGGCCTCAGAGGCAAGGGGTCTGGGGGAGGGCATCCCCTCCATTCCTCTGGCCAGGGCAGCCTCTTCCCTGCATCTCTTTGGAAGTTCTCCTGGGAAGAGACCCTGCCCACCTGCTCCTCAGCCTCCCCAGTGGGTCAAGAAGTCTTCCTAGATGCCTCACTCTTTGGATTAGAAACTTCTCAGTTCTGGGTGAGGGTGGGAGGGACATCACAGGCCCAGGGAATCTGCCATCAGAGTGGCCTGGCCATTTTGCTTAGGGAGAGGCGGCCAGAAATGAAGGCTTGGTAGTGAGACCAGAAGGCACTTGCTTTATTGTTCCAGGACAGGGGACAATGACAAGCCATTGAGGGATCTGCTTATGCCTCCTCTGAGCCAACCTCTGGAAGTTTTTGTTACCCCCAGGCCCAGGGTGGGCTGAGGTTCCCCCTTGGTGGGGTCAGGCTCATGGTAGGCACCTGGGCTACACCCCACAGCGCCACGGGTATCCTTGTGCTTCCTGGGCACCCTAGGTCTGCCAAGCAGTCAAAGCGAGGGTGCTTTGCATGGGTGCTTCCCTGTACCCTGTGCCAGGCTTTTTTCCTGAATACCTAGGTTGCCTGAGACAGTTGGAAGTAACTAACAGGTGTTCCTCAACTTATGATGGGGCTACATCCGTAGAAACCCATCATGAGTGGGAAACATCGTAAGTCAAAAGTGGTTTTTGACTTCCGGTGGTTTCAATTTACGATGTGTTTATCAGACATAACCGTATCCTAAGTTGAGGAACGTCCTGAATGTGTATTGCTTTTGCACCATCCTAAAGTTGAAAAAGTGTAAGTTCCATCCTGGTGAACATGGTGAAACCCCGTCTCTACTAAAAAATACAAAAAACTAGCCGGGCGAGGTGGCGGGCGCCTGTAGTCCCAGCTACTCGGGAGGCTGAGGCAGGAGAATGGCGTGAACCCGGGAGGCGGAGCTTGCAGTGAGCTGAGATCCGGCCACTGCACTCCAGCTCGGGGAAACAGAGCGAGACTCCGTCTCAAAAAAAAAAAAAAAAAAAAAAAAAAAAGAAAAAGTGTAAGTTGAACCTTCGTAAGTCGAGTTAAGCCGGGACCTAAACTATGTGAACTTTTCTTTCTGGAGGGGGAGTGAGACTGTGGTGACCTGGAGGCGGCCCTTCCTGCACCCGGGACTGGGGAAAAAGGACATGTTCAAGTTTCCAAGGGCAAGGGCTTTTCCAAACACTGCTTCAGAATTGGGCTCAGTTTGGTCCCCGGGTAGATGTTGCCCCTCCTGTGTGTCACCCTGGGGGAAGCTGGACACAGCATGTACGAAGGATGGGTAGAGACTGGCTGAGCGGGTGCTGCCAATTAGCAGCTCCTGGGGGAGTCCACAGACAACCCAGGGAGGAGCTCTCTATCTCCTCCTTCTTGCTGGGCTTTTGGGACGAAGATGGGGGAATAAATACAGGGGGCTTCTGGGAAAGAAAGTGATGAGGGGGCCAGGCCTCCAGAGCATGTGGGTGTCAGAATGGGGGTCTGGGGGAATCTTTGGCCTGGCACAGGGCCTGAGCTTTTGGTAAGCAAAGCCCTCAGCTCTCAGTTGCCCCAGAAACGAAGTCGGGCTCTCAGTGATGGAGTGCTGGTTCCTCTGGCTGTAAGGTATGTGGGTGGGTGTACATCTGAATAACTGTGTGTGTGTGTGTGTGTGTGTGCGCGCACGAGGGCTTGAGGGTGGATGAGTATGAGCTAGGAACAGTGCATTTTCTTCTTGCCCAGACACTTGCTCTTTGGGGGCCCTGGGTGAGGAACTGGGCCACCACATGGCAGAAATGTGTGAGGGGCAGCACCCCAGGTGGTGTCCTCTGTGCCCCCAGCTACCAACTAACACGTATGTTGGCTTAGTGGCACAGGGGACAGGAGTATTTTCCTTCCTTGACCTTTAAGGTGAGCCCGATGTGGGCGGCCAGCCAGGACTTCCAGACCAGGCAAATGCTGGAGCTGATGATGCTGGGCACAGCTCATGCCAGGGCCATGGGCTTGGAGCTGGGGCTGAGGTACACAGAGGGGCCTGCAGAGGCCGGAGGGGGCGTAGGCTCCAGCTCCATAAAGGCAGAGTAGAGGGTGGTGAGTTGCAGGTCACCCAGTGCCCCGGAGCCCCCACTGCCCGGGGATGCCAAGTCACCTGCCCCACTGCCTGTCTCTGTCAGACAGGGCCCAGGGGGGAAGCTGTGGGGTGGTGGCTGGGGTGGCTGCATCGAAGATGATGTCGGGGATGAGGTCACCAGTACCAGGGGGTCGAGGGCCAAGCTGTCATCCTTCAACTGTTCCCACAGGTTTCCTAGTTGGGGGAGATGGGGAAGGAGAGAACAAGTGTCAGTGGGAGGCACCAGAGGAGTCCTGTCTGGCCCCTCTTACCCGTCAGTTTTCACATGCTGCAGAGAGCAGGGGTCAGGGTGACATGTGCTGGGAACAGACCCCAGCACTAGCTTTGTGACCCCAGGCAGTTGCTGAACCTCTCAGCCTCAGATTCCTCCTCCCATGTAGCCCAATCTGAAAGCCATTGACCTAGAAGACCTCTGTGGTTCTTTTTGGGGGTGGGCATTGCGGAGGGGTTGATGCCTGCTGGCAGCATGGATGCCAATGTTGTGCACTCGGGAGTGAACCCTGACTCCTGCCTAGTCTCCCACGGAAGGTAGATTTGCAGCCCAGCTCAAGGAGCTTCCAGCAGTGTACTCTGGACCTAATGGGATGGATGGGCATGGCTCCCTGGGTCTCCTCCACTGCAGGGCCCAGGGAATGGGAGCAGAGCCAGGATGCACACCTGAGTCCAAGGAGCAAACAGTGCTGCCACCTATGCCATGGGACCCGCATCATGGCTGGCGAGGGCCTGGGGCTCCTGCACTGGGTATTCAGGCTGCAAGCTCTGGAGAGAGAGGGCCTGACTAAACCCTGGATTGGATTTGGCCGCCTAGGTTCCAGTCCCAACTCTCCCTCTTTCTAGCTAAGTGACCTAGAGTAAGTTCTCAAGCCTCTGTGTGCTTCCATGAAGCAGGTTTAATAATCCCTCTTATCCTCTAGGCCCAGATGAGAAAGCACTTAGAGAGCAGCCAGCCCGATGCCTTTTGCCTAGCAGGGGCTCAAGTAAATGTTTTTCATGCCCCACATATCTGTAGCTTCCTCTGAGGCTGATTGAGCCCTGCTCCCCACTTCTGGACCGGGCTGAAGATCTATGGGCACTTTTCTTTTTCTTTTTCTTTTTTTTTAGTAGAGACGGGGTTTCACCGGGTTAGCCAGGATGGTCTTGATCTCCTGACCTCGTGATCCGCCCGTCTCGGCCTCCCAAAGTGCTGGGATTACAGGCTTGAGCCACCGCGCCCAGCCCTATGGGCACTTTTCTAATAATAGCTTCCCAAACCTGGGCTGTCTCCGCATCAGGTTGGGAGCTCTCTGAGGACAGGCTGCCTCCATCAGCTTGTGAATATTCCCTACCCCTGTGCATACAGAGAGTCTGAGGCCTGGATCATCACCCTGTTCCAAACCTTCTGTGGCCAGTACCGGGGCCTGGGGTGCACTGGAATTTAGATGGGAATGGGTGGGCTTGGCCATCTGCAGAGATGGAGCAGCCAAGATGGAGTGGAATGGGTAGAACCCGCCTCAAACTCCTATCTCCAAATCTCTCTAGGGCTTGCCCATCTCTGAGGCCTTCCATTCCTCTAGGGTAGAGTCTCTCTCCTTCTGCTTTAGAAGATGAACTCTGATAAAATGCAAATGCATCTGAGAATGTTCAGACTACTGGTCACTCACAATCGAGTATGAAATAGAACATGGAGCCCTTTGCAGTCTATCCAGAGCTGAGAGTGGTTTTTTGTTTGTTTGTTTCTGAGGCAGAATCTCACTCTGTCACCCAGGCTGGAGTGCAGTGGCACGATCTCGGCTCACTGCAACCTCAGCCTCCTGGGTTCAAGTGATTCTCTAGCCTCAGCCTTCCGAGTAGCTGGGATTACAGGTGCGTGCCACCGTGCCCGGCTAATTTTCGTATTTTAAAATGGAGACAGGGTTTTGCCATGTTGGCCAGGCTGGTCTCAAATGCCTGACCTCAGGTAATCTGCCCACCTCAGCCTCCCAGAGTGCTGGGATTCTAGGCATGAGCCACCGTGCCTGGCCAAGAGTGGTTTGATGATGAGGTCAGTCGGACCACGTTTGGAGCACCAGGAGGAGGGAGACAGGGGCAAGGACATCCCTCTTTCCCTATTCTCTGGATGGCAGAGAGCAAGTGGGCAGCCCTCCCTGCCAGGTCCAGCCTCCTCTGCTTCAGTTGACCAGAAACCCAGCCACTTGCAGGCTGTAGCCTGGAGACTTGGAGACGATGAGTCCCACTGCCAGGTGGCCGTCTCCAGTCCTGTACCACCTTCCCTTTCCCACCCCCAGCTCACCCTGGAAGTCGAAGTCAGTGAGTGAGGGATTGATGGCATCCAGGTCAGTGCCAAGGTCTCCATCTGGCAGCAGGGTGTCGTGCACAGTCCTGGCTGGGGAAGGCTCGGCCAGTAGCTTGGCACTGTGACTGGGTGGGGTGTGGGCAGGCAGAGGCGAGTCCTGGGGGGTGCCTGGCTGGGCCCGCAGCTCAAGGTGCCCGTCCGGCTGTGGGAACAATGGCTGCGGGGGTCCAGGAGGGGCCAGGCCTGGTGAGAGGTGCAAGTATGTCTGCCCATAGCAGGAGGGTGCGTGCCCCACAAGTAGGTCCTGCAGGGGATTCTTGCCAGGAATGGGGCCTGGAGCTGGGTGGAGTGAGTGCAGCGGCGGGGAGAGGCCAGCTGGGGGTGCCAGGGGCCGGATGGGGCCTGAGCCTGCCAGCCCAGGGGGTGGACAGCCCAGGAGCGGGGAGCCCAGCTTTTCTCTCTTGTCTCCAATGAGGCTGTCCAGCTCTTCTGAAAGGCCCAAGAGAGAAAGAACACCATGAGACCTCCCTCCTCCACAGCCTTCCCCATCCTGAAACCGTCACTCAGGGCCTTGCCGCATTCTCCGATTCTCTTTTTTTTAGCTCATGGGTACCCTGGGCCCTTCCTTGCGTGGCCTGGCCAGCCTCACCTGGCTTGGCCATGCTTTTGCGCACAGCAATGGGATCTTTCCTCTTCCACTTCTGCAGCTCCTCTTGCATCTTGTCGATCTTGGCCGGATTGAGGGCCCACAGGCAGCCCTTGCGGGAGGAACTTCCCGATTTGTTCTCCACCTTCTCGAAGCACTTGTTGAGGGATAGGTTGTGCCGGACAGAATTCTTCCAGCCATCGGGCGCTGTCTGCCAGAGCAGAGCAAGACAAGCATTCAGGCTGGGCTTAGGGAGCCAGAGCGGACTTCAGGTCTGGGTTCTAAAACACTCCTGTGCCTCCTCTGGGCACAGAGCTGCCGCCCACTCGGGGGCTTGTTGTCCTCCTCAGCACCCAGCCCTTGCTTGGTACCCTTCGGTGGTAGGGGAGGGATGAACAGGAACCCTGACCCCAAGTTATTTTCATCTCAAATCTGCCTTCATCCCACCCTCATCCCTGCCTGACCCCTCAGAGGACTGTCGAGGTGATTCGGAAAGCCAGGGCTGGTAGGTGCTACAGAGGCCTTCTGGCCCACAACACCCTCCCATCTGAAGCTCAGCCATCCCCAGTGGGTCTCCAGACCTGTGCTTGGACCCCTCTGTGGAAGGGGGACTCACTACTCTAAGGTCTTGTGGCTGGCTTTAGAGAGGGGAATTAGGGGAAGAATGCTCCTCTCCCGGGTATGCCTTATCCCCTCTGGGACTAACTTGGGAGAAAAGAAAGATGGGCGAGGTTTGTGAGTGGGTGTGTGTGGTATGTGCATTGCACATGTGTTTGTGTGTCTATGTGGGTTTGGTATATGAAGGGACAGTGCGTATGAGCATGTGCACGCGTCCCTAAGTGTGTCTTCCTGGCATAAGCAACGTCTCCTGGCTACGGGTCCATGAATTCCTCGAGTGTGAGGATGGCCGTGTGTGAGAAAGTCTCTCTGGGTGTGACTGTGGGTAGCCATGATTGTATGATGTGTGGGTGTGAGTGTTTGCATGAGTGTGCCCGGGGGGCGTGTCCTGGTGGGGAGGCCAGCCCTCAGGCGGTGGGGGGGATGCTCGTGCCAACAGAATAAACACCCATTAGGAGGCCTGGTCATGCCACCAGTGCGGTAATTGTGCCCAGGGAGGGTTGTAAAAACCATTAGGCTGACTCAGTTGGGTGAGAGGCGGTGGCGGGAGTGCCAGTGGGCCCCTGCCCGCCCACCTCCAGCTCTCTTCCAGGCTCTGTGACAGCCCTGAGCTCAGCGGGGGCTGACTGTGGGTAGGGCACTCGCTCTGGCCGGTGAGGCTCCTTTGCCCTCATTACCTGACCCCTCCCCCTTTCAGCCCAAAGTTTCTGCTTAATGAGGGGCAGCCACTCCCTCCTCCCCAGCTCACTTGCCCCAGGGAGCAGCCAAGCTGAATCATGCCCAGCAGAACTGGGTCCTGATGCCAGCGTCACTCCAAGTGACTGCACCAGGCTGGCAGGACCTGGTGCAGCCTATCTTGGGGGCAGCTGGCCTGGGGCAGGGAGCTGGTTGAGATGACCCCCAAGGCTCCCAGGGTCACCAGGGAGGATTCCTGAGCCACCAGACCAGCCAACTTGGGATTCACCTTCGACTCCCACCGCAGTCTCCACTAGGAGTTAAGGCCACGTTGCCCCATGGGCAGAGTTAATGGGCACTGGGGCCTTTTATGGCCCCATAAATCTGTGACTTTGGGATGCCAGGGCAGCCCCCACCCCAGTCACTTCCTGTTTGGAAGAGGGATGGTCAGCACTAACAATTATGTCCAGTGGCTGGACACTTCTCCAGTCCCATGTCCCTGACTCATGGTGCTATGGGACGCCTGGAGCAGCTGCCTTGGGCATGAGTGCTGGCCACTCCAGGGTCCAGTCTATCCTCACCCAGAAAAATGATCTTCATATGGGAAGTGAGAGATGGAAAGAGGTGGGGAATCTTTGAACTAAGGAATTTCCTTAGGTGGGTCAGAGGGGAACTGTCAGAGTCAGAAGGAATCTATGTGCCAACTAATCTGACCCATTTTACAGACTGGGAAACTGAGGTTCAGAGAAGAAAGGGCCTAGCCCTGGATCACACAGGGAGGCAGTGACAGAGCTCAGCTTCCAACTCTGTCCCCCAGCTAAGGGCCCTGCCCAGGTCACCCCATAGAACCTGTCTCACAATCTGGGACCTATCCCATCCTCACAGATGCTTTCTCTCTGAGATCAAATGTAAACTCAGGAGTGAGGGAGTGATGCAAGTGGCTAACAACAACAACTAGAACCAAAGGGAACAAAAAGCAGTTAGACCTCTTCACTCCTCAGCCCCATAAAACAGGGATTACACAGCTCCCAGGAAAAATAATTAAGCGCGGAAGATGGGATGTGGGGAGGGGCTGGGGGCCCGGCCAGGAGCTGGTGGGGAGGGAAGGCTGAGAGGACTGGGCTTTTCCCTCTCTCTGTCTTGGCCCCTTGAAACCCTAGAAGACCCTCCAAAAGCTTTAGGGGTTAGGGAGAGTTCAGCCCCTGACCTGTTGGGGTATCGGGGGCTGCCCTGAATTCAGGCTTTGATGCTTCTTGAATTCGGGGGACGACTTGCCTCCCTCCCTCTTTCCCTTCCAGAATCTCTGGTGGATCAACACACTTTTCCACTCCTGGCCAGACCACTCTGGCCATCTTGCCCACTCCCCATCTGACGGCAGCCCAGCGGGATAAACTTGTTTGAACATCAAGTCTCAAATTATCCCCAGGCAAGACCATAGATGGTGGGGGCAGGAATCACCCCCTGGCAGGTGGAGCTGAGTTCTGGATTACTTGGGTCTCAGCAACTGCCCACTGCCTGGGTGACAGATGAGATTTGTGTCTACTAGGGCTTGGAGAAGGCACTCTTCACACGCAATCTCCGGTCTCCCCCACACCCACCCCAGGAGAAGGGGGTCTGTGCTGGAGGGTCTAGGGGGCATGCAGAGAGGGGTGTGCAAAGCCAAACAACTTGATCCAGTAACTGATTGCATCTACTGTGTGACCTTGGGAGAATGGACCACCCTGTCTGATGTGTTTGTCCACCTTGGGAGAAGAGCCCCTGTCCTGCCTCTAGAGGGGGAGGTGGGTAAGGCTTCCAGAAACCCCTTCTGTGACTGATAGAAATGAGATTCTGCCCAAGGGGTTGGGGGAGAGTCAGGTGAGCCAGCCTGGGACACTCAAAGACTGGGAAGCCCACACCCCACTTTCTGGCAGAACTGCAGCTGAGCCTGCCACCCACAGAGGCAGATCTAATCTCACCTTGGAAGGCAATGGCTTCTTCAGCCCTGATCTCCCAGCCACCGTGGCTGACCAGCTTCTCCAGCCCCACAGCGTCCCAGGGGTCAGGGTAGCAATAGTGTCTCATTTCTTCTCCAACTTTCTCTTCCCACTTGGGGTAGGTGGATGCTCCCTGACGCCCATCGGTGCTAACATGTCCACCTTCCCCAGCAGAAGGTCTGACTCCAGCCTACTGTGCAACCTTGGATGAGCCGCTTGGGCTCTCTGTTCCCCACATGAAGCCCCTTTTGTAGGAACTCTGTCCTTCTGAGGTGGAGACAAGGGAAAGCATGGTGGGGGTAAGCCCTCTCCTGGCTTTCGTTCTAATTCTTCTCCCGCCTCCAGACTGAATCCTCTGGCTCAGAGAGTCCTGGCTTGTCCAGGACTTGGGGGTGATGGGATGGGGAGGAATCTTGGGCTCACCTTGAAGTAAGGAAAGTGCTCCGTCATAAAATTGTAGATCTCGCTGACGGGAAGGCTTCCAGTTTTACTGTTCTTAAGGGCCATGAAGATGAGGATGCTGAAGACAGACAAAGCCCCTGAGAGTCTGAATCTCTGACTGGGTCCCGAGCCCACCCCGAGCCCCCCACCACTGGCGAAAGGCTCTATGGGGTTGGAGTTGAAAGGGGAGGGAATGAGAAGGTGTCCATTAAAGTGGACATGGAAGTCAGGAATTACAGACGCGGGAGGGTCTTGCGGAATCTGAGAAACCTGGGTGGCCGTCCTGGCCTAGTTACTCTCTGGCTGTGTGACATTGGGTGAATGCCTTACCCTCTCTGAGCCTCAGTTTCCTCAACTTTGAAGGAAAGAAAGTAATAGCTACCTCAGAGTTGTGAGGATGAAGGATGGTGCCTGTCACATAGAAGGCACTCATTAAACGGAAGCTGTCATTACTAGTCAGTCGTTAGCCAATTGCATAAACGTTGGAGAGTAGGGAGGGAACTAAGGTTTCTTGAGCCTCTGCAATGTACCAAGCACGGTACCTACATTCTCTTACTTAATCCTTCCAACAGCCTGAACTGCTGCCCCAAACCCTGACAAGTTTTTTCTTTTGATCTTGTAAGTCTTATATTTTTATTTCTTTTTTATTATACTTTAAGTTCTGGGATACATGTACAGAACGTGCAGGTTTGTTACATAGGTATACCCGTGCCATGGTGGTTTGCTACACCCGTCAACCCGTCGTCTACATTAGGTATTTCTCCTAACGTTGTCCCTCCCCTAGCCCCCCACCCTCAACCTGACATTTTTTTTTTAAGAGGAATAAATAGAATACATAGAGGCTCAGAGAGATTAAGTAACTTCCCTGAGGTTTCACACTAGTCAGTCCCAGAGCTGGTCTTGAACTCATTTCTGCTGGACTCCAAGGCCTGCATGTGTGTCTTTCAGTGAATGACCCTGCCTTTCACAAAGCCCTTCTCTGCACTCCTGGCTGATGTTTAAGTTCCTCTCCCTTCCCCTCAACTCACACTAGCTGATGACCCGATCCCATGTACGGCCTGACGCCTATTTGATCAAGTGTCACTGTTGGTTGGAATGAATGAAGGGACAGATGGAAGGGTCTCCCAGACAGGCTGGGTCTGCTGACACTTAAGAGGCCAGCCCCAGAGAAGTCCCACCAGGTCTGGCAGATGGTGGATAGCTGAGTCACATCTGCAGGCCTCACCCCTATTTCCTTCCAGTAGAGCTTTGAGTGGGGGGCTTCCCTCTGTTTCTGGGGAGGGACAGGGAAGGCAGCAAGCATCTCCCCTAAATTATCAGACCCAGGCCCTGGGCTCTAGGAGGTGAGACCTTGGCAGGCTCACCCCAGGGCACCAGCATCTGCTGAGTCAAGCCACAGACATGACTCCCCAGGCTTAGACAAAGGATCAGAGGTGATCCAGTCTATGCCCCTGCCTCCATGCAGGAACCCTCTCTCCAGCATCTTCTGGAAGCCCACTGGTATGATTTCCACCCACTGCCATTACTGGTAGACCCAGAGGATTCCATGCCTCAGTGTTTCCAAGGGCCCTCTCACTCCCCTGCTCCTGCCACCCCTGGAGTGTGAGAAATGTACCTGTAGGAATAGATGGGTTTTGGGAAGAGAGGCTGGTGCCCATCGGTGCTGGCCTGGGGTGCCATTCGCTGGTACGGATAGTGTGAGGAGCCCAGGTAGGGTACGGGGTAGCTGCCGCCACCTGGCGAGTACTGAGGAGGTCAAAAGGGGCAGAGTGATTGCCATGGTACCCAACCTTTCCCAGGAGGGCTCCCCTCCCCCATTTATATACATCCAGAGAAGGAGCTCAGGCCAGATTCTTCCCTCCTGAGTCATGGGCCCCATCACCCCCAGTGCAGAGCTCTCTGAGGGGCTGTGAGGAGATCCACACCCTGTAATTCAGGATCTCAGAGGTCTTAAAGCCCCCTTTCTCCAGCTCCTTCCTCTCAGCCCCTTAGATGCTCTGGTCGCCATGGTGACGGGATCCTGCAGGGAGAGTATGAAGTGAAGCCCTCGGCCCCTGCACCCTTCCAGGAAGGTGCTCCCGGTGCCCGTGCATCTCCTGGAGCAACTGGGCCGGAAGTGGGATGTCCAGCCTGGGTGTTTGCTGGGCACTGCCACGTTTTATGAGTTTCAGTGGCTCTTTGAAAGGACCGGTCATGGTGGTGAGCAGGTGGGGGTAGGAGGTGGTTTTACAGCAAAGGGAGTGGCTGCGGTGCCACGGATGGTGTTTTATGGAGGATGGTGGTAGGAGACTCTGACTCCCCCAGCTGCTCCAGCCTGAAGAGCTCTTTCCAGGTCACCCAAGAGACATTTAGTGCCTGAGTCACCCTCTGTCCAGGTTCCATAAAGCCCTGGGTGCGGCCATCTTGTTGAGAGGGGGTGCAGACTGCAGAGGGCATCAAAGCGGGGCCAGGCATGGTGAGGTCATTTAAGGTCTGGTGACCCCTTAGTTCTTCTGTGGCTCAATCTCTGTCCCTGCCTCAGGGACATTCTCTACCCTGGGTCAGACCATGAGCCTCAGGATAACTTTGGCCGTTCCACCCAGGCCCCTCACGGCAGAGAGGATGTCCTCTCATGCCTTCTCTTTGCTTCCCTCTATCTCTTTCTTTTGCCTGCAAAGCTGGCAGTCTGACCCAACCCCTCTCCCTTGCCTTCCTCCCTGGCTTGGCTGAGATCAGGGCCAGTGCCAGAGAGCCGGGTGTAGAACCTGCTCCACAGGCAGGGCCTGTCTCAGTGCCAGGCTGCAGGTGGATGGAGCTGGGCGCTGGGCAGCCACTTGCTCTGTCTTGCCTGGTGACTCCTGGGAGCTGCCTGGCTGCTCTGGGGCTCTTTTCTTTCTCCTTTAAGACTCCTCCATCCCATGCCAGTGTGGGGCAATTACTTGGCATCCTGTACACTTGGGAGGAGCTGAAGCTGGGAGAGGAGGAAAGGGCTGAAGATGATGGGGCCTTGGAGTCCTCTGGGTGGGAAGGTCCCCTAACCCCACACTGGGTGCCCACGCTCTCTAGGCTAATAGAAGTTGGAGGCCAAGGTCACATAGCAAGATGGTGGCTGACTATACAGAAGCCCTTGTTCCTCACCCTGCTCAGCCTGTGTTTCACACCACACCCTCCTCTTCTCTTTGCCCCTCTCCCTGTCTGGGGCAGCTCTCCTCCTTCCCCTGTTTCTGGCTCACATCACAGCCCTGCCTCCATCTCAGCCCCACACTCTTATCTGAGGCCTCTCAGGCCTTGCCAGGGACTCAGACGAGCCCACCTCTGGAGGGGTGCAATTGCCTCTCTTCCCATTAACTACTCCTGCAACCTGCTGTGGCCCAGCCTAAGGTTCAGGGCCCTGCAGTCCTTACCTGCCCATCCTGGTGTACCCACACCATCACATAGACACCCACACACCACATACACACACACAATATCCTGACACCTGCGGGAAGCAGGCCCACTTGCCCCAGACCCACCTGCTGGAAGGGGGGCTGGGAGGAGCAGTACATATGCTGCAAGGGAGGCTGGTAGCAGAACATCCCAGCACCGCTCTCCAGAACTGGGGGCTTGACCTTGACCTCTGAACCCTGCTGGAAGAGAAAGCAGATGACTAGGTTAGGCCTTCTTTTCTCCCTTCCTCCTTCCTGTGTCTTGAACCTTTATATCAAAGCAACCCCTACTCTGCCTCCCCCAAAGCTTATTCCTGGAGAACAACAGAGAACAGAGAAGGGCAGGGATTTTCTCAAGGGAACTCAGCAATTTAGTGGTAGAGCCGGGGCTGGAACTGACAGCAGTCCCTACGCCTCCCCTCACTGCAGGGGAGAGGCTGAGGCTGGGCTGTCCCGAGAAGTCTTGTGCTGGGGTAGGGACAGGGATCTTCTGGAATAGCACAAGGGTGCAGTGCTGACCTCACTCGACACGCCTGGCTCAGAGTCCTCAGACCCTCTAAGTAGGTGTGCAAAGGACACCAGGAAAAGGTCACAGTTCCAGAACTCTCCCTGAGGATCCATGGTGAGGGGAGCATGGGTAGTGGCCAGATAGGCTGGTCCAGCTGTGGCCCTGGGTCCCTTCTGTTTCCTCCTCTGTACAGCCCCAGGAAGCCCCAGCAGGATCTCTGGATGGGGCTGGTAGCTCCTCTCTGCTCTGACTCCTGGCCATCCCTGACACAGAGCTTTGCTTCCTGTTCCAGGGGGTCTACACAGTTGCTGGCCTGTGTGAGCCCTGTGGACGCTCTCACGCTGGGCATGGGGAGCCTGCAGCTGCTGCTAGGCATGGTGGCCAGACCCTGCCTTCCCATGCGTGAGAGGCCAGCACAGAGTCCCAGGGCCTAGTGCAGAGCTCTCCCGTGAGTAGGGACAGGAGGGTGTGCAGCTAGGCCCTGGAAGGTGGATAAGCCCTGGAGGAGGTGGACTGTGCTTCCTGGGGTTACCAGGGGCCTTGGGAAATCAGATCTGGGCCCAGAGGGGCAAATCAGCTGTGACCTCTCTCTGGGTGTGCCCTGGGGTTGTTGATGCAGAGATTGCCATAATCATAGAATCTCAGGCCTAGAAGGGCCAAGAGTACTTGTGTCCAACCCCTTCATTTGACAGATGATGGGGCTGAGCCCAAAGAGGGGAAGCAATATGCCCAAGGTCACCCAGCAAGTCGACCAGATAGCTGTGTGTCTTTGGAGCTTTTCTCCATGTGTGGGAGGGTAAGGGTGTGAACTCAATCTCAGCCTCACCGTTTGCAGGCTAGGAGACACCTTGGGCAAGTCACTTGGCCTCTATGAGCCTTAGTTTCCTCGTCTGCAACGTGAGAATGGTGGGAATTTTCTAGAGTGTTGTTGAGGGGATTAAATGGGAGCACTTGAAAGAAAGCACCTGGCAGAACGATTGGGAGGTATTATTGAGTGGAGGTTTGGGGGCAGTAGCTGAGATGATGGTGCCCTATCTGTAGGCTGTGATCATGTTTAAGGGGCCTGAGAAGAAGCAGTCAAAGGGCCAGAATAAAGTCCTATTTTGGCCACATCTGGTAGGCACCCAACCACCTTCTCCATCTTCCTTCTAAGCCTTTGTTGGGGTGGCTCGGGGCTGGAATGGGGGCCTGTTTGAAAGCAAGAGGTGGGGGGGCTGGTGGGCATGTGGAGTAGGCACTGCTGAGCCTGCGCCCACTCAGGAACCTCCAAACCAGAGCTGGGGAGCAGGGAGCAAGTTCCCTTAAGCTTTTCTCTTCCCTAAGCAACAATCCCATGAGACAAGTAATGTTGACCTTACTTTTCAGATGAGGCTTAGAGAGGTTAAAACTTGCCCAAGGTCACACAGCTTATGGAGGTCAGGCTATGGAAGGACATGTTAACCTTCCAAGGTATTTCCAGGAATATACCCAGGCCCCACTCTGGGCAAAGAATGGGGCCGGGAAGGGTCCCTCCAGACTTAAAGTCCTCTCTCAACTCTGTATGCTAAGGCTGGGGAGGGAAAAATTGTGTCCTATGGCTCCTCCCCAAACCCTTTCTCTTGGTCTCTGGAATGTGTTTTTCTTGTCACATTTGCATATGGGCGTGTAGGTCTGGCTGGAGATTCTTGACACTTAAACAAACAGAGAGAAGTCACACACTGGAATCCTGACTCAGGAACCTCTGAAAGCTGCCAGTTTCTTTAGCTTGGCCTGCCTTCCCCCGCCCACTCCCCTCCATGCTGGCCAGGCCAACACCCCCTCCCCAGTTGACCAGGAGGTCCCAACTCTCTGGTCTTGAGTGGCAAAGTCTGCAAAGAGAAGGTGGGACTTTGGTCTCAGAGGACTGACTCTTTCTGGGCTGCTAGGAACCGGGACAGCGGGGAGATAGGACTCTCACTGGCCACTAGTACTCACCAGGACTTGGGGGCCATGCTCCTGGCTGGGGTAGGGGAGCCCGTTACACCAGGCCTCTGCTGAGAAGCCAGGCAGGAAGGCCTCGGCCTCCGCCACGTCCACTGGGATCTCCTCGAAGGCCTCCAGCGGCCCCGGGGTCTTAAAGGAGTGTCCATTGAGGGCCAGGGTGGTCTCGGCCTCCAGGAAGACGTCTTCATGGAAAGGCCGCTTGTACGGGTGGAAGGGCACATGGCTGCCCTTGAGGAATCGCCCGGGGCTGCTTGCTGGGGCCTCCTCAAAGCCAAAGCCAGGATACTTGTCTGAGGGCGAGAGCCGGAAGGGGCCGGGGCCGGGGCCGGCTGGGCAGTGGCCCTGGACTTGCTCGGGGCCTGGTGACGCAATGCGGGGACTGTGTGGGGGTAGTGAGGGTGTCCTCTCTGGAGGGCCGTCGGGCACAAATGATGAGCAGCTGAAGCCGGCATGCTTCTGGGTAGACAGAGAGTAGCGAGCCTGTGAGTGGAGGCTGAACCAGGCCTGGGGACTGGCTGGGACCCTACTCTGTTCTGGGGTAAAGGGGTCTATGGCTGAGCTCTGGGAAGCCCCTAAATGGTGGAGAAGACATAGTCGGCTCTTGGGAGCCCCGATTTCATGAGGGCACCCTGCCGTGAAACCTGGGGTACCCCAAATCTGATGGGGCTCACAGTCCTGCCCTGGGACAGGCCAAGACTGAAGGGATGAGGAGTGACCCCTCTGGATCTCGGGGTCACTGAGGACTTGTTTGCTGGTGGAGGGGACAAGACAGACCCTGGGAGGTCCCTGGGGGCAGTAAGGTGACTGGTCCACCTGCTGCCTGGGCAGCTGCAGGCCTTGGCCTAAACCCAGGCCCGGATGCCAGGTACTTACACTCTGTGGGGCAGGGGAGCCTGGGAGGCCCGGCGCCTGCATGAGGTCCCCTTGGCGCTCGCCCTCCAGTCTGGTGGGGCCCGGCAGCGTGACGTCAGACTGCGGCGGGGGCAGTGACACCATCACCCAGTCCTGGCCTCAAAGAAAGCCGCCTGCCATGAGAGTGAGGACCAGCATCCAGGGGTGACCAACCCAGGTTCGCCACCTCCACCCCAACCCCGTCCTTAGGCTGGGTCTCTGCCTCCAGTCAGCCATGTGATGAAAGAGAGAGAGGGATCCAGAGAGAGAGAGAGAGAGAGGGAGAGAGACAGAGAGAGAGAGAGAGGGAGAGAGACAGAGAGAGAGAGAGAGGGAGAGAGACAGAGAGCGAGACAGCAGAGAGAGCAGACCTCTATGGAGAAAGGGCAAAGCAAGCCAGGTAGGAGCCTCAGGAGGGGCTTGGCTGATCTCAGGCTGCAGCGGCAGAGACTGAAGCAGTGAGACCCTGGCTCCCAGCTGGGCCCTGCCTCTGGCTCCTCAGGATCGGTCTCCTGTGTCTACAGCAAAGGGCCTGGCAAGGTGACCGCAGCAGGGGGTCTCCATTCAGTGACTGGGCAAGTTGGTGGTCCTGAGGGGAGAGTGAGCTGGTGTGTGGGTCAGACTCATGCTTGGGGTGGGAGCAACCGCCTCCATGCAGGTGAGTCAGCTCTCAGCAGAGGCTGGTCCTGCAGTGACCCATCAGCCTGGCTGACGTGACCACAGTGTGTAACTGGGGAGCCAAAGGTCCCTGGTTGCCTGGTGGCTCTGTGAGCCTAGCGGGCCCTGAGGATGTCACCACCCACACTGCAGCGCCTGGCAAGTGCTGTTCCACCTGTGTCCTCCAAACTCTAACCTGTGACTTTGTGCAGGTCACTGCCCCTTTCTGAGCTTCAGTTTCCCCATGAAGACCTAGGAGCTTGGGTACATGATATCGGAGGGCTTTTTCTGCTCAGACCTTCTCCAATCCTAGGGGAATCCTGTCCCTAACACAGTGGGGTGGTTAAGAGGACGCAGGCCTCAAAGCCGGGGTTAGCCCTTCCTCTCAAGCTGTGCCAGCAAAGCTCTCTGAACTTCGGTGTCATCATCTAACTGGGAGAGTGACAGGCCCTACCTCACACAGATGTTGTGAGTGTCAAACAAAATCATGCGCAGAAAGCATTCCGCACAGTGTCTGGTGCACAGTCGGTGCCCCATAAATGCCAGTTCTCATTATGAATATTATTGTGAGTGTGGCTCTCCTTTTTTTTTTTTGAGATGGAGTCTCTCTCTGTTACCCAGGCTGGAGTGCAGTGGCGTCATTTTGGCTCACTGCAACCACCGCCTCCCGGGTTCAAGCAATTCTTCTGCCTCAGCCTCAAGAGTAGCTGGGATTACAGGCTTGTACCACCACACCTGGCTATTTTTTGTATTTTTGTTTTTATTTTTATTTATTTGTTTTTTTTTGGAGATGGAGTCTCCCTCTGTTGCCCAGGCTGGAGTGCAGTGGCATGCTGTCAGTTCACTGCAACCTCCACCTCCTGAGTTCAAGTGATTCTCCTGCCTCAGCCTCAAGAGTAGCTGGGACTACAGGCACACGCCACCACGCCTGGCTAATTTTTGTATTTTCAGTAGAGAAGGGATTTCACTATTTTGGCCAGGCTGGTCTCCAAATCCTGACCTCAGATGATCTGCCTGCCTCGGCCTCCCAAAGTGCTGGGATTACAGTCTAGCCACCATGCCCGGCCTCTCACTCTTACTATCCTCAGCTTTTTGCCTTCCTTTACCACCTGCAAGAGCAATTCCTCTTGAATGTACTTCTCTTTGCCCAAGTGGTCTCTGATAAAAGCTACAGTTTGCTGAGGGTCTACTCTGGGCTGGCCACTGCGTGAACTATTTGGATGGTTTTCTCGTTGGTCTATCAGAATAACCCTGTAAGGAAGGAGCATTATTGACCCCACCTTCCAGATGAGGATGCTGAAGCTTAGCGGAGTTACATGACTTGCCCAAGTCACCCAGGGGCAAGAACTCTGGTCTGCCTGACTGTAGACTTTGCACTCTGCTTATGGTTTCTTCATTGGGTGGATGTCAGAGTTGGGGTAGGCTAAGCTGGGAGGCCAGACAGCAAGAAAAGCATGAGGTGTACACTCACCCCTTCTACCCAAGACCCCCTCAAGTCGGAGCAGGGCAGCTGTGCTGTTCCCAGGCCATGTTCTTTCCAGAGCTCTGGGAGGGAGAGGTGGCCTCACTGGCCCCGGGGTACCCAGGCTGGGGTTGGCACATCTTTGCTGAATAAACCATCAATAAACCTCATTTGACAGAGCGGGTAACAGGGAAAAGGAGGGGAGGCAATTTGCCCAAAGTCCCACAGGATCTGCCCAAAGATCCCATGGGGGATCAGTGGTGGAGGGGCTGGAAGCCAGGGTCCAGGTGGGGGCCTGGTGGGAGACTCTCCCGCCCCTTCAAGAGTCCCCACCACCCCTTCTTGACGTCCTGGCGCCTGCTCACTCCGCAATGCTAAATGTGGCGTGACCGGGAAAGCGCCGAGCTGGCCGTAACGGGACACCACAGCGGAGCAGGCATGGGGCCCGAGGTGCGGGGCAGCCCACCTCCCGCTCTGCATCACTGCCTCTTGCTCCCTGGACAGCTCCTCCTGGACAGCTCGGAACTGCCTGGCGGCCACACCTCACCTTGGCCCAGAGCTGCCTTCTCGGGAGGTGGTGCAGTGGGCTTGGCACCTTCCCAAGGCATCCTCCAGCTCCAAATGGGAGGCTGGGGGCCCTTCCTCCCCGCCAGATGTCAGGCTTTGTAACCTGGGCAGGGTGGCCACTCTCCTCCCTGCAGGTGGGGTAGCACAATGGTTTAGAGCAAGGATTTGGAGTCAAGCCCAGCTGAATTCCAGCCCCAACTCTGTCACTTTCTGACTGTGTGACTTTGAACAAACTGTGTAGCTCTCTGTGCCTCACTTTCTGCAGCTGGGAAATGGGGCACACGGACCCACCTCACAGGGTCATTGTGAGGATGGTGTGCACAAGGTGCTGGCACAGGGAAAATGCTCAAGGCCACGTGTCATACATCTGGCCTCTGTTGGCCAAGTGTGGCTGGGCCCAGGGGCCTTTGGCCCCAGGCTCTACAGCTTCTCTGATGCTCTCGCTGCCTCAGGCCTGGCAGCCCTGGGACGACTGGCTGATGACCAAGCCCCAGGTGGCAGCTGCCCCTGCTAGCCCTCCCTACCTGCCTGCCTTCACTCAGCCTGGCTTAGACTCCAGCACTGCTGCCCTGCAGATGTGAACCTGGGGAGGCCCCTCTGAGCTCCAGCTCAGGCGTACACCACCTCCTGAGGGTCTGGCCTGCCCGGAATGATCCCCACAGTGTTGGCCTCGCCCCATTCTTGCACCTGTTCCCTATTCCCCAGGACATCATCTCCAGCTCCAGCCGAGTTCCTGCATGTCAGAGGCCTTAACAGAGGCTTCAGTTCACAGCCATGACTTTCACAGCCTGGCTTGGCCAAACCATCCCGCTACCTCTTCCAATCCCCTGGGGCCAGGATGAGAACCAGGGAAGTTATGCAGAGTTCAGAGGCCCACCCCTTAATTTGCATGAAGGATGCAGAGGTTCCGACTGGTCTTCAGGGATTCCTCTGGGCAGGTTTTGTAAGTGGGGACTCCTGTTTTGGTGATCATGATGCCCCTTGGTTGCAGCTAAAGCTCTATTCTACAGGTGAGGCCCAGGGAACAGGTAAAGTGACTTTCCCAAGGCCACACGGCCCAGGAGAGAGGGGGTCCTCAGGGGCTGGTCAGAAGGCCTCTGACTGGTGTTTATGAGGGGCTCCTGTGCAGCACTAGGAAAGGCTCACTGCAGGAACCTGGATGAGGCTGCCTTGGTCCTGACCCTTCCCTGGAGTAACTGGCAGAGCCCCTGAAGCCGGATGACCTGGAGTCAGGGCTGGATTTGAATCACAGGAACTGTGGGACTTTGGTTGGGCATGATGCTTAACTTCCTTCCCCATGCCTCAGTTTCCTCGTCTGTAAAATAGGACTAATAAATACATTCCTCTCTGGAGGATTAATAAAATATTGCTTGTAAATAGCTTAACACACAGTACTTGCTCAATAAATGATAGCTATTATTAATAATTAGCAGTGGGACAGAGTTTATTTAAGGCCTGAGTTATGGGCTGAGTGTGGGGGAGCATCAGGAAGGGAACTCCCCTTTCCTGCCTTCTCCTGCCTCCTACCTCCAGGTCCTTGACATTGTCCTCTCCCATTGGCAGAGGCTAAACTTCCCTCTTCCTGACTCTCTGGCCTCAGAGGTCATTTCCGCCATTCCCATGTGGTAGAGCTAGTGTCTGTAGAAACTCCTGGGGACTTACATGGAGAGGAAGGGGGTTGACTCTGTTGTTTTGGATCTCTCGGGAGGTCTCTCTGCTGGCCCCAGTGTCCTGGGGCTGACATCTGCATTCAGAAGGGATCTTTCATAGAAGTCTAATCTTTATCCTGCCTGTTCCAGTTTCAGGGAGCACTGGAACTGGATAGAATGTGTGTGCAAGTATCAGCAAATTCCAGCACAGGAGGCCCAGTCAACTCTCCTGCTTTCTCAGATTCCAGGAGCTCCTCCAGATCACTCTCATGACCTGCCCCTTAATATGGGTACCCACAAACCACAATCCACAGCCACCTGCTTCCTGGCCGAGGCTCTCACTGGCGGACTGCCCTGGCGTCCCTTCGTCGCAGCTCCACATCTGCAGTGCACTCTAAAGTTTCCTCTGCACTTTTTTTTTTTTTTTTTTTTTTTTTTTTTTTAAATACAAGGGCTTGCTGTTGCCCAGGCTGGAGTGCAGTGGCATGACCATCACTCACTGCAGCCTCGACCTCCTGGGCTCAAGTGATCCTCCCGCCTCAGCCTCCCAAAGTGTGGAGATTACCGCGCCTAGCCTCTCTGCACTTTTGTATCTCTTGTCTCATGTTATCCTCCCTTTGCCTCGGAGGATAGGGGGCAGTGGTGTGCAGAGCCAGTTGGTAGGGGCTCATGAGAGTCAATTGTGCCCATTTCTTCCCAACTCCATGTCCAGTGAAATTGGTGGAGATCAGCCACAGTGGGAGTATTTGCCCATGGAAATTAGCAAATCCTACAAATCAGAGCCTTTTTAAACATTAT